TTGCAAAAAAATTCAGCTGAGAAAAATATGCGCGGCCATGAAATATGTCTGAGGAGAACAAGAGTGCCGGAGAAAAAAAAAAGAAAAAGCGAGAAATACGCGATCGAGCGAGAGACGAGGTATCGACGACGGATATGATGATGATGAAAAACGAGGTACTTTCGAGAATCGATAGAGAAAAGAACGGCTCGTTGCGGAGCGCAAAGAGGGAAAGATAAAGAAAGGAACAAGACGAGCGTGTAGGGCCCTGCGGGGCTTCGGGGGAGCTCGTAGCAGCACGTGTGTAGCAGAAGCGAACTCGGGGCCCCAGTTCGGTCCGTGGCTCGTAAAGCCTTTCATAAAAGCTTTCATAAAACGTTTCACGATCTCGTCGTACCGCGGGAATCCAGCGCGCCGATCAACGTCTCGCGCGATACGTCGATCTTTCTCTCCGCGCTCTCTTCTTCTTCCACATCCATTCTGCACGGCAAATATTCTCGGTCGAGCTCGCGATATACATTTTATGCGTTGAAAATTGAAAGTAAAAACTCAATAAAATAAAAAGTACCGCGGACACTCTAACGCGGCATAAATCATTCAGAAAATCGCAGAACGAAAATCCTGAGATAACAAGCAGCGCGAGCTTGTATTTATTTTTATTTTTTTTGCACTACTTTCTCTTTTTTTTAATTTATTCCGTTTTCGCTATTTCCTACTTGCATAAATTACGCGGAGAGATATCGCGTGATTTTCGGCGATTCAGCGGTTGGTCGGACACCTGAAATCTTTAACGTCTCTCGTCAAGCAAGGAGGACGACTCTTTGTTCCTCGTCCAAGGAGGAAGCTCCGATTTCGATCTCGCAACGATTCGTCGTCGGGGAGATCATCATACCTAACTCATACGTGCCCGAACGAGGTACGCGCTCGGAGACATAAAAGCTCGTAGCCAGGCTGATCCAGACCCCCCCCCTCCCCCTCCCGCCGGATTCCCCTCTCCTTAACGCTACCGATTCTCCGCTCCTTTCCTCGCTACTAACGTCTCGAATTAAACCCGACCGGCAGATACGACAGATTCGTTGAATAGCGGTCGAGTTGGCTGGCTTTTTGAATCCGGCATCGCTTAACGAAGGGTTCGCCAGCGGCTGTTTCTCTTTTTGACGCGGTCTCAAGAGAAGGCTCACTTTTCGAAACGAGTACTTTTTGTCGAAAGAAAACTTTTTTTTTTTTTTAAAGAAACGATATTTTTCATCCAAGTTTCTAGCCGAAATCTTGAAGCAACTGAACTGAGAGACTGGCTCGAGCGAGTTGAAACCCTTTCTGTCGTCAGACACACGTGCGTATATCGCCAAATAGATAATCATCCGGCATAACGTCAATTACTTTTTAAGTCGTCGTTAAATTAGACGATGATCTATACATAGAGAGAAGGAGATAGCCCCGTCGATCGTCGGCCCGGGCCGATTTCAAGCGAATTTCCTCGCCCGACGGGTGGCACATTCGGCGATCAGTCTTCCGACGCGGCGCTGCGAACGGATATCGTTAAAAAACGTAATCGAGACGAGGGAATCAGTGTGCTATCAGTTAATGAATCTGGCCCCGTGCGACAGGACGATGCCCGGGGGCCTGCGAGGAGGAGAGAGGAGAGGAGGGGGGGGGGGGAAGGCCTGTCTCTCGAAAGTCTCCGCGGGCCCTGACAATGGCGAGGCGTCCGACGAATTTCGAAAAGGACAAAAATAAAAAATGATCCTGCGTGCTCGCGAGAGGAAGCGTGGACGGAGAAAGAGAAAAGATTTCTCCTCTTTCTCTCCGCCGTCCGCTCCTTCCAGCGTCTGCTGCGTGCCTGCCCGCTGTCCGTCCGACTGTCCGTCTTCTCTTTTCATCCTTACTGCCTTTTATCCGGCTGGAATGATTAATGGGTTCACGGAGGCACCGCGGTATCTTATTCCCCTCGCCCCTCATCAGACCCCCTCCCATCGACCCACCGAAGCGCCCGTCTCTCTTCCACCCGCGCGCATAGGCCGAGTTTTCTGGTTTTCTTCGCGCCGGATTATATCGCCCTTCCGCTCGCCCGGCATGGCGATTGTACGACATCGGTACACACCTTTTCTCTGCCCTCGGTGTATCGCTTTAATATCGCGGCGCCATGAGATGGAGCGATTAATCGGGCGGAAAGTCTGACGTATAGATTAGACCTCGCCCGTGACAAATATTAAAAATGGAAAGAACATACAGATCGTTAACAAAATTAACTTTTAACTATATGAGAGAAACAAAAACAGTCATGTTGACGTCACGGGTGTTTCCAGATGTTAAATATAGACAATTTCCCTCCTTCTCTTTCAAATGTGAAACGATAAATACATTGTCGGAGGAAGAAACTAATACATAACATATTTGTCGACTTGTCAAGGCAAGGGTTCACAGAGGCGAATAATGTTCGTCGGAAAGAAGTATCATCCTCCCCTTTTTTGCCGTCATCTAACGTGTCATTGTCAAGATGCGTGTTACCGCTCTTTTACATGATAAATTACACGTGATTTTTTTCTATCAATCGCGACGATACCGTAAAAAACTCGACTTTTGTTCTCGTCATTGTAGGTGGCCAGTTGGGAGACGCGGCATTGAGAAACAAAACGGATGAAAAGGCGAGAAATATTCCTCGCTCAGATCTTCATTATGTAATATGCAAAATATATCACGTTCAAAATATTGTATCAAATGTATCATTCCCGGCCAATATTTCGTCTAGAAACGTGCGGATTTATACGTCGTTAATTCGATCGGTAAATTATTCTCTACTGAAAAAAAAAACCGCACATTTACATATTGTTATAACTGTCGCAAAAATTATTGGATCAGAATGAATAAATTATTCAAATTAAATAAATCAATTTTCAATTATATCATTTCACTCCGTCAGTGTTTCAATTAAAGTTTCTGTATACACACTTGAAGAACTGTTTTCGACAAGTAAGTAATTCGCGCCTGAGGCGCTAAGAGGAAAGAACGCGTAAGTTAAAGAGACTTGAGAATTCCGGACCGCCGGCGAATTCTCGAGAGCGTCAACCCACGCTGGTCGCCGCGCGCAACGGGAAACGATGACGCTGGCTGATCTCGAAGGCATCCATCGATCGCGGGTCGGGCGGTCGACGCTTAGCGCACAGTCGGCACCGACCGACTTTATGAGTTATAAGTCGGCCATCTTGCGAGAGCCATCACATATTCACGTGCGCACATATGCGATGCACCGGCAATATGTAAGTGCCACATTCTGTTCTGGTGCAACGTACAGTCCCGGCTGAAAGCCGCCGTGGCTCTCGAGCGAGCCTCCGGCCGTGCGAGCGCACGTATCGCCAGAGAGAAGTGCATTCGTTTATCGCGATGCCGGCTGACGTAACCGCCGCTCGACAGAGGCTTCTAATTCATATTGCATCGAACGATCCATCGCGGCTACCAGGAGCGCGCGATCAACGATTTCCGACGAGCCGCCGGGAGAACAACCGCTCGCACCCTTGTCACAAATATTAGTTGGCGCGAATTCGCGGAAAACAAGTTAAATCGACGGTCTACGAAAAACGCGACGGCAACATCGGAATTTTGCCTATCGATAAATCTCGCGGCAAGCGAGGCGCAGAATTGACACCCGGCCAAGCGCGATCGCGAACGTCAACCAGTTGCAGCCGGCGGTCAATTCCGCGCCAACCCCGAATTTAATGCCAACCAATCCGCGCTTCTCGTCTGTCCGACGATTTTCTCAGACGCGGGCGGTTCTAATTGCCGATCGGAAAAGACCGAGCAGCCAAGATTCTCTCGATCGCTTCGTTATTTATATCAAGAAAACAATGCTTTGACAATTGTTCAAAACTATAGCGATGATAATGCTATAAAATATCCAAAAGTCGCCGTTCAATGCTCAGCTTATACCGTCGAGACTTTACACGTTATTGATTTATTTGCGGGCAATTGCTGAATTTGGAAGGCACTCACCTTGAGGTTGCTGGCTGATGTTCGGGTTGAGGAACGTGGGCGGCAGTTGCCTGCTGACCGACTTTGCCACTTCGCCTCCTGCTAGCCCGTAGATCGCCAGGAGTTCCTGCATCGTCGACTCGGCGAACTCGCTCATATTCTCGAAGGGCTTCCGCTCCTCTATCTCGACCTCGCCATCGACGTCATTGCCCCGCTCATCTTCGAACGGCGTATCCTGATCGTCCAAACGAGACGACTCCGCGTCCAGAACGCCGCTCCCGCTTCTTTCCGACGAGTCGGAGTTCGGGCTCCTCGCCTGGACACACATTTAGCAATCGGAATTTTAGAATTAAACATAATCATTATCGATAAATAAATTCTCTTTGATTAATATCGCGAGAAAGATGCTTGAAGACAAAGTGAGCACATATTTTATAAGAAATATTCACTGCGAAAAGAAATAAAAATCAGAGAAAGAGAGAGAAAGAGCAGATATCGATCAATCGCGACTTACCTCTGTGCCGGGGGAGTACAGCTTCCGCGACCTCAGCTGCTCGAGCGTGACCGTGTAGCCAAGAGAGTCTCCGCTATCGTCGTCGGCCTCGGAGGACGGCGGCCTGGTGGTGACCGAGAGGTCCATCGGACTGACCTCGTTGTTATTCAGCCTCTGTTTCGATCTCTCCTCGGCCGGCAGCAGCATCGTTTTCCTCTCGTATTCGAGGATCTCGCTGGAGCTCTCCTCCACGACCTCCGGCTCGTCGTCGTCCCTCTCGGATTCGTCGGACACCTCCGCCATCCGGCTGCTTATGGGCTTGAAATTCTTCCGCTTGTTCCGCGGCTTGCTTTGGATACTGCTGGTGATCTGCAACTGGGCCTGGGCCTCGTACTGGGAATCGCTGTCCTGATCGGCGGCGCCCCGTCGGGTCGTCGCATAGTAGACCGAGTCGGAAAGCATCTCCGCTGATGGAAGACGAAATTTATTCCATCTTGTTTGAATAAGTCGCTATAATCCTATCGTTCCGTTCGATATTAATAAAATGTACGAAAGAATCGAACGAGTTCTAGAGTTTTTCGCTTATCCGCGATAAATTTCAGCGCAACTACAAAGACTATTGTCGACTGTGACAATATATAAACGCATATAGAATCATCGATTTTCTCTCGTTTTCGATATTCCGCGAACAAATCAGTAGTATAAATCAGTTTTATAGAAACAATTAATTTTTTTGCAGAACCAGTTATTCCATTGCGGAGACAGCTTCTCTTCGATCTCACAAATAATTCAGGAATGCCGGATAAGAATAAATGCGATTTGAATAAGTAATATGTCTTAGCATTTGCATTGCGAAGGTAGAGGCGACAATAGTCACTAATTCCGCGTAACGAATGCTGCAGCGTTTCAAGGCGATGGCGCGTAAGCGCGTTGCTCGTTTCTCATATCGCAGTTAATAGATATCAACTTTTAGCGTCAATTACAATCCCGCGAACTCGAACGCTAAATGCATGTTCTCGACACGATGCTCGCGTGTACGCGATAGTTTCATAAAATTAATGCCGCGATTCGTGTTTTCGCGGCGCGAAACGCGATGCACAACTGCTTTCACTTGGACGAGCCGGAACGACCGCTCGGATCCGCGTAGGATGAATTCTTAGCGCAATTGTGGAGTCTCGTCTCGGCCATAACAATATATAATCGTGTAAAATTATGGATCCCTTCCCTTCTTCAGCATTCCGTGTATGAATCAGAAGTATCAGTCGCAGAGTTAATGTTATTATAATCCTAATGCTTTAATGATTTTTAGAGGCCGCTAAAATTTTTTATTATTTTGTATAAATCAAGCCCTTAATAATATTCGGCTTAAAGAGCTAAAAAAAAAATGTCTTACCGGGGCCATACGGGCTGGTTACGGCGGACATCTCGAACCTCGCGAACCACACACAGCCGGCTCCTCACCACATCCTGAAACAAGACACAAAAAGTCTTTCACAATGTTCAAACTCCGACTAATCTGCAAATTTGCTTTCTATATATTTTGCCGATTCATAAGCTGCTATTTTTTCCAATGCATGCAGTTTAACCGGAAATATTGCGCACTTGCAATGAAAAAAAAAAAATCACCGCCACGGTAAGAGTCAGTTTCGATTCATTGCGCAATATATATCCGACTGCAATATAATCAACCCATTCTCGAATGAAGTCCGCGACTCGTTCCCCGACAACATACTCGCTCCGGCGGTGTTTCTGCACAAGGCGCGAGAAGGGAGAGAGAGCCGATGTAAGAGAATCGCGAAAACGAGGCGAAAACAAAGGTACGTCGCCGTAACAAAAGCTGCGGTGATATACGAGCGCAGCGGTGTGCGCTGGTCTCGCGCAGCTAGTCTCGACCGGCCTGGCGCGATAACATGCGAGCGCGCACGACAATTCGTTTCTCGGTTATTGGAATGCAGACCTTTAAGCCCATTACACGCCGTCGCGTCGCGCGGCAGCTACGTCGAAGGAGCAGGAGAGCGAGCCGGGCTCGAGAACACACGTGCGGGAGAAGGAGAGAAGGAACACGGATGACGACGACGACGACGACGACGACAACGACGACGGGGGAAAAAAATGAGAAATGAGAAAGGAACAATAAAAGGACGTGGAGCGCAGGCGGCGTGATAAGCATTAACGTCTGACCAATCGAAAGGGTTTATCTCGGAGGGGTTATACCTGTACTAACTGTCATTTCATGGCCTTACCGGCTCACCGCGGCACTCGGGTTCGGCTCTCGCGCAATGAGAAACGGCGGAATGGAATTTCAATCCGTTGGAAAATGACTTCTTACCGCTTCTGCCGCCTCGCTCGCTCGCCCATAATCGTCGCCGCCGACCGCCGTTCGCTGCGCGATCGCCTACGTCCCTCGTATGGCTGTTTGCCTTTTTTGGCGTGCGGATTTGACCCCGGCGCGATACGGGACTGCATCCTTCAGGAATACGCGCCGCGATGAGTAGTCGATGGGCAAACGCGCGACGGGTAATCGATGGGTAGTCAATGGATATCTCATCTTCTATTAATATCGCTTGATTATTATCCTCCGCGCGGAAAGGAACAGCGTATCGTCGTATTGTTCAACCCCGACGATGAATATCTTGCTTCAAATCGGAATCGTGCGCGTGTCGTATAACGATATTCAAGCCAGCCGATCGCGCGATGAAAGCGCGTCGCGAAATTGGGTTCCACTGATAATAACCACCGATCGCAACAGGCTAATGAGCCGAGTTGTAAATATAATTAAGCTTTACATAAAGAAACTATCCCAGGGTTATCGAATCGACGCAGACCGGCGACACGCGCCGTAATGCCAACCTGTCGCGCCGATCGCGGTTGATGTACGAGGGCTTTCTATTGCCTTCTCGATCAAGCGCAAATTGTGTTGCACGCTGCCACGCACGACAGACCGGCATTCAGACCGGTAACCAACCGGTCCTCGAAAGATCAACCCGCTACCCGTTGGGTTTGCTACCGCCGCGCCGGTCGACCAGTGTCAGCGATGTCAATGGAGAAGTTGCTGTCATCTCGAAAATGTGTATGTTTGTTGGTGAATTTTCATCGTTGAATCTTAACAAATCTCGATCATTTCGCTGATAATTTTTTCAGCTTTTCAAAATCCTGACATAAATCAATAAAAAATTCTGACATAAAAAAACATTTATATATGAAATGACGTTGGTAACGCTCTACTTTATCGTTTCTTTAATGCGCAATGCTTATTTTTAGCTTCAATTTTGGCCGAGCGGCGATTTTAACGAGAAAGATTCGCGCGAGCGATCATCAATCCGATACAATAAAATTTGACTGTGACGCGCATTCTTATCCATTGTTATTTCTGCCTCAGCACATCGGTGCATCAACGGATCTGCAGATTTAAGCAGAAAGATCCGTGCGAATAATCGCCAGTAGGGTCGGTCGAAGTCGAGCGCGCCCTCCGATTGGCGCGAGCGCGCTAGGCGTAGCCGCGAGAATATACGCGGCCGGCGGCCCCGCGACGAGCGGGGATGCGCAGCGTGTACGATCGGACGATATGTCCGAGTGCCCGCGAGGAAGGAGCGCGAGCGAGCTCCTTTTTTCGCCGGCTATACAGAAGGGATAATTAACATCTGTTACAGTACCTATAGCGCGCGGGCCGCCCCGTTTCACCCCACCATGTAGCGCACGGGGCGGACCTTGAATACATTATCACCCTCTCTGTACATGTACGCTGCACATACACCGTGCCGCCGAATCGTCGAATCGCAGTGCTCGCGATCGACCGTGAACGAAAACCTTTATCTCCGCGCGGCCTCGTGTCCCCGCCGCATGCGCCTCGTCGGGGATCTAACGATCTCTTGCGTCGCGAGTTGCGAATCGAATTTTGCGGCAACACGGGGTTCGTTTCTTTGTGCCACCCCTGCCTGGTCCAATAGCCGGCTCGGACGAGAAATCGCCGTGAATGAGAGTGGCGATTATCCGTGAATTTCAATTGAAACCAGAGCTTGTTATCGGAGACAAAAGTTTATAAGATCCGTAAAAAAATGTTTAATCTCATCTCGCATATAATATAAAAAAAAGATTGTCTACAACTTCAGCAGAGATTTACAAAAATTTCCTAAACAGTTGCCGAAATACTCGAGATGCCAGCTTCGAAATTTTTAAAAGTGAATCGGAAGAATTTAAAGGCGGCGGCACGCCATTCCAGGAAATCGTCGAATTCTATTTTGTCTCATTTCCTTTACATAATGAGCGCAATCGTTGGGAAGCGAACTAAAATGAAAGTGTTGCGAGAATAGCGGCGAGAACCGTGTTTATTAAACGTCTGTTAAATTAGGAAATTATGCGAACAACGTTCGACAAATAGCCTCGTGAGCATCCGGCGATTGGCATAACGCAGATTGAGAAGCCTTGTTTCACGTAATTGCAAAAATGTCTACAAACCGCTCGCTAATGAGAACACGTCACGCATCGGTGCTTGCGAATCCAAAGCAGTGATTGACTCGAGAAAAAAGAAACTGTGGAATGCGGGCATCTCACGATAATTAAGACACACAATTACTGCAGTTCCTTAATATAGATGCGGCTTAGACAGTTCGTGTTTCTTTCCTGTCTCTCTAAAGTACACGTCTTGAATGCGCTCATAAATCTTGTAAATAGAGCCGCAATAAAATCAATAAATTGTGAGGAAAATTAATAGGAAAAAATTGGGACCAAATGTTACGCGCAATGTTAATTCGCATCTGACGATGCGAGATGTTTGTTTCGCACAGACATTTCGAGAATGCAAGATTCAAGACCAATCGACCACGTATATTAATCTATACGAAGGAGACGTATCAAACGAAGATGAGTCGGGATGAGTTGAGACGGGATGAAACTGCACGAGACAGCGGCTGGTCCGTGAGAGCGGGCTACCACTCGACATAGCTCGACGCTGATGCCGATGCCAGAAGGAGGAAACAAAAAAGTCGGCGACGTAACGCGTTCGTTCGTCAAACACTCGAATGTAATGTTGCCAGGCCCGGCGGGCTGGAGGGGCCTCGCGGCTTCTGGAGTGCCTGCTGCGGAATACCGGGAGATTATTCAAATTCGCCACCGACGGCTTAAAATGTATATTAATCGCCTATCCGGGACGAACGACCGGAAACCGATCCGTTGCTCGTCACCGAATAATACCAGTGCGACTTATGTCGAATCGCTCGTCTCTAAATATACGAGATCCAGGTGCGCGGGATGTCGTCCGAGCGACTCCTCGGATATCGCGGTCGCGTTGTCGCATTGATGTCACCGAACGCCCGAAGTGTTTTTGCTTGCGCAATTATGTATCACTACAGCAACACGGAATTGAATATTTCAATAACAAAGTCAGTTGAATTGAACAAATTAGTTAATTAAATCTCTATTAAACTTTGTACAAAATTATCTAAAAAATAATACTTGCTTATTTATTCAAGTTTCCAAAATTTTCAGTTACAATGTTAGATTTCGTAATTATTAAAACAGCTTTCTTTGTTAGGCGAAAATCAACATCGGTTTCTCGAGAGCCACCAGTGACTGAGATAAAGCTTCTCATGCAGATGATATTTTTTTTAATACTTTCATGTTGTAGGTATAAGGATTACTGTAGAACTACCTCTGCACTCTTTCGCACGTCTGGCACTCTACCTTGCTCCCGGACTGAGAGAAGCCGAGGAAGTATAGAGAGAACGGGACAGAGAGAGAGTGAATGTGTTCATAAGATATGGTGTGAAACACGAGAGGACCGAGATTAAAGAATGAAAAACATAGAATTCTGAGAACTGGTTGAAGTCATAATATTCGTAATTTCAAGCCGCGCCTTGTGGCGACCGCGTCTTCTGCGTCGTTGAAATTAATGCGAGCGGAAATAAAATTCCTGCCTCCCCGCCGCCGCCGCGCGCCCTTCATCCCGCGCTCTCGCTCGAGTCTCGCCGTCCACGGCCGCGAGACAAGTGGATGGCGTTTAATGGTCGAGCATCATGTAAATAAATTCGGCCCTCGTCGCCGGACGGAAGGATGTTTGCTTCTAATATTTGGACTTCGCGCCGCGTCGAAAGAATCGACGAAGAGGAGGCGGCGAGAACGTCCAGTCTCGCGTTTCGCCAAACAATGTTTGGCCTACACAAAGATCGACCACCACAAAGCGACCATCACGCAAAAAGATCACCTTTTGATCAAATGCGCAATAGATCATCTCGCTTCTGCGCCTGCCAGAACTTCTTCCCAGAAAGCGAACCATCGCGGAGAGCGCGATATCGAGTGGCGAAATTGCGTCGGCCGGGCGGGAAGTGCCGGGGCGAGGGGAGATCGCGAGGGGGTACGCTCCATTTACGAGGATTAAGATAAAGCGCGACGTTGTCTCTCGGCTGTCTTCGTTTTCCCGTTCATCGGCACCTCGTTCCGCCAAGCTCCGGCGCGTAAAACACGCCTCGGCC